AAAACATCAAGCTCGAGCTTTCACGAGGCGGTGACTCATGGCACATGTGTAGACTTGTTATCTTGATTGTGGCTCCTCGTTTGTGGGGAAGTCTTCTCCTCACGACGCCTTCGGGGCTGTGTCTGGTCCCAGGCAGTGTGTGACACTCCATGGGTGGCATGATGGGAAATGGCCTCTGGTTAAATTGGCGCAGGAAGAGGAAGTGTATCTGGGGACTGTGATGCAGCCCGGTTGGGGCCAATTCTGGCCCTGAGAGAGGTAATTTCACGGTGTGCATTGGGATCAGTAGCTGCTGGAATGAATGACCTTCAGGTTGGTGATTAACATGTGCCACAAATAGACACACACATCATGGACTTTACACAAGTAGGTCACCTAGTGGCTCAATATCACTGAAGGTAAAACAAATCTGTATTTCCATTACATTTGTTTATTATAAATACTAAATATCCACTTGATCACTTGATTGTTTAGCCTTTAAATGTTTAAAAAAATTTTAAAAGACATTCATGATGGTGATGATTTCATCGTCCAGGACTTAGAATATTCAGTGAACTGTTTGTGTCTATTGTGTCGAACACACTCATTGCAAAAGACCTGAGGTTTGCGTCATTCGCGTCTCACAGATCCTGGCACCAACAGCAGGGGATCAGCCGGCCACTGGTCAGACTCCTGAGGATCTAGTGGACCCACAGGAACAACATAGCACTTGTAGTGGTCCTCCTCTCCTCTTTCCAGGAATAGAACAGATGAATGGTTGGGTTAACTCGCAAGGCTTACACAAGTAAACACAAAGGATCGAATGCGCCATTGCACTCTAAGGTGAATGCACCATAAAAGTGAATATTCCTGACTCTACATAATATTTCTTTAAGCTTTAACAGTCAGTAAGACTCTGCCTCTAAGCACCTGACAGGAAAGAGCTTGACCTGCAGACCTGGAGTGACCACATCCCCAAATGGACTCCAACAGGGAAGCTCTGTTGACACTACATGAAGTGTTTGCATATGTTGAGATGTGTTTATTCAGCATGGACAGTGTCCATACATTTTGACCCTCACCACTGGCATGTGCAAACATTCTCCTCATGTGCACGCTCACAGCGATGCAGACAAAGACAGCACATTGTACTCACAGATGTTCACTCTCCCGCTTGTCTTTCCATCACTCGTCCGTGGTCGGTCTCCAGTGTAGCAACTTAACAGCTGGGAAGAAGCCGGGAACGGTCTTGCCCATAAAATCCTAAAGAATATGGCTAAATATGAACTTCTAAAATAAAGCTGACACGCTATGCGAGAGCGAATACCTCTGCCAACTATCAAACCACATTCAATTTCACTAGATCTGGATTTTTATCAGTCTCTTAAACATGTTTGATTCATGAATCATTCTCTGAGAATTTAACAAAAATGTAGAATAACACCTTATCACATAATGTTGAAAGACGTGAAAAAGAATCCGCAGCTGATGCTGATCCACATCAAAAATTCTTCCCTGAGCCAGAAGTTTCACTGTGATCCAAAGTTTTTGCGTAATCCTTGGCCAAGGTATGAAATGCCTTTGTTTTTGTCTTGACTGGATTAAAGATGAGCATGAAGCATGACTCTTGAAATATGTTACGTTTCTTCATACAGATGTTTGAGATGTGTCTGAGGGTCCGACATTACATAAATGTCAAAGTCCAGATATAATCGAATACAAATGGTTATGACAAGATAATATGTTCTGTCTTGAGTCCCCTCTCTTTGAATTGGACCTTCTCTCTTCTCAAAACAGTAAAATCATGCAACTTGAATCAGTCTGATATACTCATATTTTCCATGTTGTAGAGAGATAAAGGAACATTTTGAATTATTCATCCATATGCAACAGATTAAAGTCTGTACAAGTTCACCCAGCTCAGTTCTGGATGACTCCAATAACCTGACTGTGTCAGAGGTCAACGTACAGGACGACAGCCTGAAAACTTTTCATCCAAATTCTCGTAATATTTGGCCATAAAAAAAAAAAAAACCTGGATTCCAGGAGACAAAATTTCTTACTATGAAGGAGGTGAAGCCATTCTGGAATTCTGGTCAACACACAGTATAAACTCCCTCTGTTCCTTATCATCTGGTTGATTTTTGTATTCATCGCACACTTACGCACACACACACACACACACACATACACACATACACACACAGAGCACAAGGGTGAAAGACATTAGCCCGTTACAGAGACCAGCCTCTCTTCAGGCACACGCACTCGCCAGATGTTGCCCAGAGCTTTAGGGAAGAACCCCCAGGTGTGTGTGCGTATGTCTCTGTGTGTCTCTTTGTGTGTGTGTGTGCTGTCAGCCCTCCGCAATTGGCTTCCTCGTGCATCTGCCAAGATTTATGACCAGAGTTTTTCCGACAACAAAGTCGGCTTCCTCTTTTGAAATCCCAGTGGGGCAGAGGATCGTGGATCAGAGGAAGAAGCAGGTTCTTCAACCTAAAACAGGTGACTCTGACTCTTGCCTCACCAGGCTGAGCTGAGTGTAAAAAATGATTTCCTAAATCCCCGGGCTCCAGCGTTTTTATCTACAGGCAGTTCACACGGATCCCATCTGTTTCTCATATCAACATACTTGCACTTGCCAACGCAGGGGTCTACCGGTCTGGCCTGCAGGGGTCAAGCGGATAAAGTTGAGTAATAAAATCAAACTGGGCCCAATGACGGTGTCTGCAGTTGATCACTGAAAATCTCTGAAGGTTTTCATTATGGAATATTATGATGGCGGTAAAGCAGGAGGGGGATGTTAAAGAGGCAGCAGAGCTCTTTGGGTGTGAGTAATGATCGGACGGAGCAGGGGCCAAAGACAGCTTTACTGTTCCCTGCGGCCTCAAAGTGTTAAGGGCAGAGTACCCGCTCAGTTACAGGCTGCGTTGTGTATCACGCTGGAATGAAACCTATTGTGTTTTGATGGCTTTAGATTACCTCTATGAATATGATGATGGAGGTTACATCTGTGATGTCAGACTTATTGTCATCATTTGACATCATGAGGAAATCACTCCTTCAGCCCAACACATTTTATTGTCTATAAATGTTATTCTGTAATATCTCTGGTCCTACAACCAATTTCTAAACCTGTAGATGATCATATCCTCACTGCACTGTTTAATGACATTGTAATACTTCTCAGTAAATAACTTTTATAGCTCCCTTATCTTTCAATGTACTATACAAACCTGGTACTGACCAGATATTATTATTGAAATCCTATATTCTATATTTACACAAACAAATGTGTTTGAATCAAGATAGCAAGGAGATCCAACTAGAATATCAGCCAGTAGAGCACAAACCTCTGCCAAGGCCCAACAGTCCTCTTATGAAACCTCATTTAGATTCACTAGATCCAGATTTTGATTTGGATCGGCACACACATAAATATCAGTCATCTTTTTTCTTCTTCAAGAACACCGAACAATATGTTGAAAAACGCCCTATTTCACAATGTTGAAGACAGTGAAGAAGAATTCCTGGATCCACCCCCTGACGAACAGATCAAAACAGAACCTCCTTGGCAGAGGTAGTGAAAGAGGCACAATCCTCACTTGTCTCATTTTCAAATATGTAATTTCCAAAAGACATTACAGGGCACTGTAGTTTTTGCAATGTGACTGAAACAGGAAGACACAGAGGAGTTTTGAGGGACTATTTTTAGTGGCGGATTAACACACATTTGCTGCTCAATTGAGTATGTGGGGCAGGATCACAGTGTGTGTTGGGCTGAAATAGACCCAGTGTGTGTTCATGATAACAAAGTGTAGCTCATCCATGTGTTCACAAGTTATAATATAGTTTTATTCCAGCCAAAATGTTCTCCTCTCTCCCTTCACCTGAATTTCACCCTCACCCCTGAAGGTGAGACACACACGAGTGAACGTCCACACGTGTTGTCTCGTGTGTTTCCCCTCTGACCAGACAGATTCTTTCAAAGACCTCTCCCTTCCTCTGGACGAGGAGCGATTTGGCAGCAGTTCTGTGATGCAGGCCGAGCGCCTTTTGAATTTTGCCTTTCCCCTGGAGTTCCACATCACTAAGTGAAGTATTGTCTTTATCGCTCTCACAGGACGTTATTAGGAGTCAAGCCACGACCTCCTGAGCAGCTGTTAGAAACCTGTCGGGCACAGAGATAAAAGCGATGGAGGGACAGGGAGGATGGGTCCTTATCATATTATTCACTGGGTCTTCTTGCAGTTCAACTAGTTTTAACATTGTAGAAGCTATGAGATGATACATTTATAAACTCTTGTCTTATCTTGTTTCAGTTTTTTTGTTTTAAGCCATGAGGAACGAGCTGTCGATCGCACATGACTCAACGGTTTTGAATTCTTCTCGTTCAAACACAAACCATGTGTTTAATGATCAGAATGGAAAAAAATAAATTAAATGAGTCATGCAGGAAGGGTAAAAGCTAGATTTTCATTACTTGCCTTCAATTATGCATTTTATTTCGCTGGTGTGTTGTCACGCAGAGAAACTGTTAATGATTCTTAAAGCAACACAATCAAGGGAAATTATTATATCAAGGATTGAAACCACCCTGGATTTATTAATTGCAAAAAGTTCATATTGTATGTACAGAGAACAGCAGACACGGCTCTTAATGATGCACTGTTGTAAAAATGGAAATTGCACTATGCTTACATATTAGTCATCTTTTACCACCATAATACTATACTGTGGATAATAAAAAAAACAATGAGGGATGGTCATAAAAATGTAATGAAACAATAATATATTTCTCATTTCTCCCCGGATGACATTTTTTTCTCTCTGAAACAATAACTTTATGGGAGGAATCTATGTGTCACAGAGTTTCCACGCAAACATTAATTACACAACACAAATAATAAACACGTATTATGGGATATGATCACATTTGCATATGTGGAGGAATAAAGTCATTAGATGTTGCAGCCAGTTGAAGACGTCCCCCACTCACCCAGTCCATGATGACACGTACACAACACCTCAGTTAAAACAGCTGCACCCCCCCCCCCCCGAAACACAGGCTACATCCATTCCACTACGTTTTCATTTAAAACAGCCTTTTCAAACTAAAACGATCTCAGTCCACGCAAGCTGAACATGCACGTGCCAGTGTTTGCCGAATAACAGCCCGTCTCCCACACATGTAAACAGTTGTATCACACGTCAGCTTTTAGTAGAAACAACAGGGTCAGTAACGCTTGTAATTCATTATCCATGTTGTGTTCTTCACTGGCAGCTGAGGTTAATGCCGGTCGTTTTTTTCTTCCGCCTCACGAGTCAGCGAAGGCTACGTCTTGATCAAACAGACCCAAGTCTACGTCATTGTTTCCAAACATCTCCGCTTCTGCAAACTCCAAACTGAAAAGCAATCCCCCAGTCTTTAAGTTAGTGTGGACGTCCCCTACATCAGAGGTGATGCATTTTCAAACAAAAAGCAGCAGCATGGATGTAGCCACAGCTAAACGTACACATTTACGTCCGTCCAAACAAACATGTTGGATCTGACAGTCAGATAAGCAGCCTTTTCTGTAACCTCCTGTTTGTGGAGCAGACTCAGAGGAATAGTTGTGATTACTCCATTGACTGAATCATCTGCAAGGTTAGGCCTCCCATCTCCTCTCCCTCCCACTCCTCTGCTCCACTCCCACTCAGCAGCCAAGTGGTTAATACGGCTGCCAAGACATATTCATTGACATATTGGAGCATCCAGTAACTGGCAGCGTTTACTGACACTTAAACACATGTCCACCTACATGAACACATACACACAAACACAGTGGAAAATTGGGAGCTGAGCAAACACACTGCTACTGTATTTTACTTGTAAGTGTGAGGAAGCACATACACAAACAATTTTTTTTCGGCACTTGTGCAAACCAAAGACCCTCCACCACGAAATAATATAATTTCTATCAAGTTTTATTTCCCTAATTATGATCTTTATCCTGAACCTGCTCAGATTCATTTGCTGTATAATAACCTGGTTACTATGACAACAGCATTCTCCATTCACCTGCCTCTAATCTGGCCTCTCTGATAAACCTGTTTTCATGAGTTGTGTAACTGAAGGGAAGCATTGCACCAAAACTCAATGTGAAAAAGTTGCCAGACTAATTAAACCCAATTTTGATAATTACCCCAAATTTGAACATTACCTTTGCTTTTCAGGACAATGTTTTCACATATGCAGAGAGTGTCACCACTCTGACAACTAATGCTCAAGTTATTGTTCTTACAGGGACAGAAATACAGACGCACACACACACAGGGTCGTACATATACTCTCACCCACACTTTGAAAACTGAACCACACACTATTGATTGAACGATGAGTTCAATGGACATCATCGCGAATGGAAAAACAAAATCAGCTCCGTTGTATCCGGCCTGTGGATAGGCTGCCCCACACTGAGGCCTCCCACTGCAGAGCCCCCCCCTCCCTTGTAAGCACCCTGATGAAATATTCAGTGAGAAACAGCTCAGACACCTATGGGTCCAACGAGGCTTCTGTTGCAGACAAGTCAGACTGGGGCCAGAGCCCTGCCAGAAAGGTCGCTGTTTCTTCCCCCTCACCGCACATGACAACAAACAAACACAAAAGGCTGTATTCATTTTTAATGAGGTACGTTAACTAATAACCCAGACCTGACCCCATTTATCCTGCTGGATTCCCTGGGTGGGTGGGGCAGAGATCTGAAGCTCGTGGTGGTGATGATATAAAGAGAGAGGAAAACAGAGATAAAGCAGCGAGCTGAGAGGAACAGAGGATTCAGGATTATCATATTAAACACGGGTTTTGGATCGGAAACCAAAAGGGACATTTCTCAGAACAGAGGGGGGTTGAGTGGTCATGGCCGAAGCCCAAGCTCTGAGTCCGCACTGTGTCACTACATGCCAACTCCTGCCAGCGCTTCCGCCCACATGCACATGTACAGTAGTGAAGTCCCCATGAACAGCAGAAATAAGCCTGATTCACACAAGCAGGATTTCCACTGGTTGAAAACATGCCTGGGCTGCGTCATGAGTTTGGAGTCATGATGTTTGGGTCAGACATTCGTCAGATGTGGTTGTGCAACCAGTTGCCCTGTTAGAGGGATGAGTCAGAGCTGCAGATCATGAGCCCAGACTTTGGTTTGGTGCCTAAAAAGGTGAACAATCAACGATCAATGGGTTAAAAGGCACTTATACACATATATGATCTGTATGGACAATAAAACATCTCAGCTCATTGGATACAGCTAAAAAGGATTCTTAGAATAAAAAAAACATCTTTTTTTAAATATTAACATTTTGTATCAACAATCCCATGAAAGTCTCAGCATTATATATATATATAAAAATGATTTATTGCCCTCTTTGTGCTTTTCCCTGCTGATGCTTTCTAGAATCAGTCCTAATCTTCTCACTGCTGTTACTGTCTCAGGAGTAAAACTGCCTCCCTTTCTCCGAGCCCTGGAGTCTGCTGAGTTTGGCGAGCTGAGAAGGCGACGGTGGCACGTCCTGTCTGTAGGGGCCTTTGGATTTAGGTGGGAGCTGCACTGGGGTAGAGCCAGGGGTCTGAGTGTGGTCCCTGTTGTGGTCATAGGTGCTGCTGCCGTGTGGATCTTGTGCAGGAGGCGGCCTGGCCTTGCTGGCCTCCTGCTCTCTGCGTCTCTGCTCCTGCCTCAGCAGCTCCTGAGTCTCGAGGAGGACGCGGGCGTTGAAGCTGGATGTTCCCAGGTAGCCATTACGGGATCCCTGCACAACGGAGTAGCGAGGGTTCTCCTTGGACATCGAAGATTTCTCAGGTGGCATGTACACCTTGTCCCGTGAATCCTGGGACGCCGTGCTGGGGTTCTTACGAGGCGGCCTAAACACACAGAGACAGGGAAAGAGTCAGTCTCCGTGTTGAGTGAGTCACCTTAAACAGCACCTGAATCTAAACGGAGAAGAGGAGGGCAGCAGTTAACTCCGCTCAGAAAAGATTGCTTTTTTTCCTGCTTTGCCCCTGGGTCAGCACTATTGAAGGGGATTTCAAAGGAAACTGCACTTCAGCAGAGAATGTGACCAATTTCCACATTTTGTGAGATTAAAAAGGGTTGTGGTAGCGGCACTGAGCTAAAATACTGAAAGCAACATGCTCGGAGAAAAGACAGATCTGTTATAGCCCGCCGCACACTGAATCCAGTGACATAAAGAGCCAGACATGAAAGAAGCAGGAAACAAATGGAGGGAACCTGAAACGCCCACAGGGCTATTAGTTCCACATTGTAAACAATCACAAATGTTAAACCATCGCGAAAATGGCTGCTCTTATTCATTGAACTCCTTTTTGGACATGCAGACGGGTGCACTTACAGCACAGACAGAGTGATGGCAGGCCTCATGGCATTGTCTGACTTCTACGCAACATCAGTCTGCCTGCCTGCCCTGGGACAAGGGGTCATCAAGATTTGTCCAAGGGCCAGAAAGGCTGTGCTTAAAATAACTATATAACTCAACGAAATAAAAATTGGTTAATTAATTTAATCTGAAATAACTAATTAATGCTTGAATATTTTCACTTTTCTTTTACAAATCTTCTTAATCTTATAACAAAAGAAGGCACTTCACCGAGGAGTGATGATTTGAATCTGTAACTCGAGTAATTGCAGACTGCAGACCTGATTGAAAATGTTGCAGGAAGCGGGAAGAAGCTGTTTGTTGTTTGTCAGGCAAGAAAAAGCATCGCTCTCAAAGAGCCTGAAGCAGAAAGACATGAAAAACCACTGCTATAAGGACGAATGATCTGGTAAATACAGATTTATCATGTCCGCTAAACCAGTTTGCCTTGTGTGCATTGAAACAATTACTGTTAAAAAAGGACACAATATCACAAAGAGTTTTTAAGCCCCTAAAACAGAGAAGTTTTAAAACGCGCTGCATTGTGGGTATGGACTCCTTCATTCAAATTCACTTCACGACTCAAATACCAGCGGTGAATGTAAAAGTGTAAAACTGGCACGCACTTGCCAAGTGTGCATGAATATCCAGTTGTAGGTGTGTTAGCATGAATGGGGATTATCACTGCTCTAGTTTTAAAAACACTTGTGTGGACGGAGATCGTTTTTAATTGAAAATGCCATTTTCAAGCAGAACGTATTGATATGGATGCAGACATGAGCAGTCCGAGGCTCATCACAGAAACATTGGCACTATAAGAGCTGGATGTTTCGATGTCAGCGTAATTATTCACCAACTTTAACTGAACCAAGAAGTTCATCTCAGTCTGTCTGGTTCCTCACCAAACATAACAAACCATTTACCGCTGGGGAATTTTAAGGAGTGCATGGTCACTGTTCTGTAGGAAACTGTGAGCAGCATATCTATGGACAGGATAATTGCCCCTGTTAAGCAAATACCTCTGTCTGCTTCAAGTACCTCCGGCTAGTACCACGTCAGGCAACACCCGGGGACTTGGCTACAGATGAGTCCGTTGACCACACTGACATTTCCCAGTTGCCTCTTTTTGTGTAAATTTTAATGGATGAGATTTCAAAAGAGAGCTGTTGGCTTGATCCAGCAGCAAGATATCACAGCTGGTGATATTTTCTTTGGAAAACTGGAAGTGTTAGTTAAAAAGCAACGACTTGTTATCAGACAAAGTCAACTCCAATCGTCACAGATGGTGATCCTGCCATGGTCGGCAAAAGCAGGGGTCCGGAGCACAGAGTTAAGAATCGTCTCGTTAACCAAAGCTTGCTGCATGTCAGACTTAGTGGGGTTAATTTAAGAGGTTAATAATAGAAATAATTAACCTCAGCAGAGGATATTCAAGTGTGCAGCATCGACTGTTCAGCCAATATGTGCCTGAATCTTAAGCTCCTCACGATGACCTCTCATTCCACGATGACGCAGCTGGCTGAATAAGAGCGAGGCCTCGGAGGGCTTCATGGACGTCAGGGATGAAGTTATGGATTTTTTTTGGAGCAAAGAAATTCAAAATGAGCAGCTGAGCACCTGCGCATTGTGCAAGTTAGAGAATACATGTACAGTGCTGCATTTTGAGCAGACATTTTCCCATTTGAATTCAATTAATCAAAATGCAGGAATGCAGCAGACCCATTGGTGTCTTCTGCCTTGAGGTTTCGAGTTTGGCTTTTCGTTTTTTGAAACCAGAAAAAAAACATATTTGGAGCTGAAGGACACAACACAGCACCTTCCCCTGCAACCTGCCCCAATGCATATCATGCTCTCTCGTCTATTTGACTCTAAATGGAACTTTAATTTACTAAATTAACATCATGCTACACTGAAACAGACTAGCAATGATTTCACTTTCCAGTCTACGTCCGTTTTTATATCAAGTGTACAGGAGAGACAAAGATAATAGGTGCTCTCCATGGTGATGGAAGCTTGACAACTTGTTTTGGCTATGGCACACTAAGGACACTGCCTGTGTGTGTGCTCACCAGGTCAACTTTGATGAAAACTACTGGGAAGCATGAGAGAGACTCACTGTGAAACTAATCTATGGAGGTCTGTTTGTGAAAAGGCAGCTGTCAGGCCTGCAGTGTTCAGAAACTTTTGTCCAGGTGAAAATGTAATCTGTCTGTATTGTGATTTTCTTGACAACAGCTCCTTCAAATGATTTAAAACTAGGTTTGTTTTTAGTGTGAATTGTCACATGGGTCAAACTTCAGCATGACGGACACTGCACTTCATCCAAATGTGTTTCCTCCTCAGGATTTTGTTCATGGGATTCATTATCAAATGGCATGGTCTACTTAAAGTTTTATTTGATGTGCAGATGTCTCACAGGAAGCCGCAGTGAACTGTTCCATTCAACTGACTTTTAAAAGCAACGTTTTTGGCAACTAAGTCCTGTCTCTTTAATTTATTTATCTTCTAAGCATGTTGTCACACAAGGCTGGAATTCACTCTGATCTTTTGATTTTTTAAGAGCTGTTAATTAAATCAGTTCCTTCTTCTTCTTTTAGTTTGGGTCGTTATTATGAGTCACGATTATGGTGCATGTGAATGAAATGTTAAATAAGAGCATCTGAGAAAATAAAACAAAAAGTAAAAATCAAGCATGAGAAGAATGTTATACTAGACAATGTAAAAACAATAAAACTAAATGATACACCAGAGCTTGTGGAAAATATAAAGAAAATGTTAACTACAAGCAGATGCAAAATATAAAACTAAATGTTAAATAAAAGAATGTAAAAGAAATAATAAAACAAAACATCAAAAATGACAGGACGATCTAAGATTTCACATATTGTCTCTTGTACAAAAAACGAACCCACATGCTCCACTTCTAAGAAACTGGATAGCCGTCATTGGCAACTGCCAGTTTTTGAGCTACAGTGTTAATGTTGTTCCTCCAGTTTTAGGATCCATTAAGGCCGACCTGTGACAGTGTCCTCTGCGTCAAGGGTGCTAAAAGAAATCCCATTCACACCTCACTGCTCCACTGTGCGCTCAAGAAGCTTTTGAGTTCACGATGCACAAGGCAGCAGATGGAGGCAGGGGCCCGGCATTGCTTTTAGACCAAAACACCTGCATCTCTTATCTGACCGAGTCTCACTCCAGAGACGCTGAGGGGAACAAAAGACAGAAGAGGCTTCTTACGGTGAAATTCTTTGAAACTGAAACTTTAAAATTGTACAACCGGTGATTGCAGCAGAGTTTTACTGAAAAAAACCTCAATGGAAATAACAATTAAGATGATTCAGACCCAGACGATGTCCCGCTGACCCCCGACCAAGACTCAGTCTGGAAAGGGGCTAGGGAAACGATTTGCAATGGCCTCCAGATGTTAAAACTATATGATTTTTTTATTTCACATCTCTATCTACTTCAGAAGTTTTTGTGAAAGATGACAAATCTGACAGCTCTTCAGAAAACCCTCAGGTTTTAGAACATATAGGATTTACAATGCGTTTCTATTTGGCACCATAGGTCTGAATGCAGGCAATGCATAGCATTTTTTGCATAGCGCAAAAATTGTCTCCATTTTCATTTTTTTTTTAATACTTCAACAATTCCCCTTTACACATTTTCTCTTTATGCCTGATTTAAGTAGTTTTGATCAAATCACATCAAGGATTTGAGGGAGTTTTTATCTCTCCACAGTCGCCAACCTGCTTCCTCAATGTGGGAACTCTTTCTGTAGAATCTTCAAGGTCTCGACCTTACTATGAAAAGTGTTTAAAAGATAATGTATGTTATGATTTGGTGCAATACAAATACAAGTGGATTGAACTTTGTGGAGGTAGCAGGGAGAACACCTTCACCTGGACCAGAGGATCAATCAGTGCAGGTGAGGGCCGTTAGCTGATTGAGCCTCTGGTACAAGAGGCGGCTGAGCTGCCTCAGAAACACAAGCTGGAAAGAGACAGAGACTGAGCTGCAAAGCTGAGACGCCAGCTGCTATAGATGGCAAGCTATAAGTTGAGTTTTGTAGATTTATGTTTGCTGTGTGGATCGAACAAAATCATGCTGAAACCTGAGCTGTTTGTCTCTGGCTGCTGTGGTGAGAACCCAGTGGCGTGGTCAACTGCCACTGACTAATAGAAGGCCTTGTGACTGAAAGGGAAGACCAATGTGTATGCAATTATCTACTGTACACATGTTGCACAAATACATTAGGGTTGTTACACTTTGTGTGTGTGTGCGCATGAGGGTTATTGGGAGAGGGGCAGCTGTAGGGCCAGACTGCAGAGAGAGCCCCACCACATGCTCCATATCTGGGTTTCGCTGTCTGGGCGAGCCGCCACACGTTTACACCCCAGTTTGGCGTACAGCAGCCAGCGCCACTCACGAGGGAGCCGCTCATTTAGATACGCTGGATGACTGTTGCACAGGACTGCGATCTGCACTTCCACAGTGAACTTTGAGATTTAAAGTAGATAAGAGAAGAAGGGGGATTCAAGGGGAAATTCTATGGCGGCAATGAGGAAAGAGCAGAAATGGCATTGTTCCACAGGAATGTAACTGTGATTGATGCGTCAGGGGAGCTAGTTCTCTTATCACCTCCACTCCTGCGCCAGAATATGTCACAAAGTAGATTAGTTACATTTACAGAGGGAGAGAATGGGAAAATACATCATGCCAAAGAGTGGGGTAAATTTAGAATGACAGAACATAACAAACAAAGCCAGGAAGTTGGCTCGCAGAGAAATTTTGTGGCTGCTGTGTTTCTTTAAAACAGCTGGGAAGAATCAGAGTTTATGAGATGGGGGAGAAAGCATGCACACACACATGCTCAGATACAATTTGATTAGAGGAAAAAACCAAATGCATGCAATGGGCAATGGAAAAATCATTTTGATATTATACAAATAAATTGTTAACAAACCTGGAATAATGTTTTCTTTACCAGCGTGGAACAATTTTGTTTTGGCTGAGGAATGCAAGAGCTGCACGGGGATACGCGAGAAATCCTGGCAGTTGGGGCCACAGTTAAGAGCCTTATCTTGACCACATTCGTGCGTGTGTGTGTGTGTGCTAGCGCTTCTCTTTCAGGCTAATCAGCGGTCTCTCTTTCCTACTAACACACTCATTCCTCTCCCAGCCCCTCTCGCCATCCGCTGCCTGTCTCCGCTAATCCTGCTCCAACAACAAGCCTTCATTAGTGCTCTTCCAGTCCTCACATCCCAGACAGCCAGCTAAGCCTGGCCGTCATCAGATAACCAGCCACCATGGCTTCTTCTGGAAGCTCTTTGGGAAGAAGATTTTTTTCTGAGTGTGTGAATGTTGGTGTTGTTGTTGGTGATGGTGGGGGGTCCCATTTTGCCTGAACGGCTCACTGGTTAGGCTTCCTGTTTTGGAAGAGAACGACAGGATGAAGGGGTTCCAAAAGAGAGGTGGTTGGAGTTTTTAGAGAACTGTGGTTATTAATCTGCGGATGTGGACTTCAGCTCTTAAATGAGCAGCCTGGTTAGACACAAGATCTATAAAGCCTTAGCCAGGGTCAAATGTCAAGCCGGAGCTCATGCGAGTCCTCGCTAAAAGACGCTATGAGATTATGAGAGGAATGTTTATCAAAGGCCACCCTCGCCCCAGCTTTTTGGTCAGCCAGACGAACTTTCCCAAGAGAAGCGACCCGCGGGGAGGGGAGGGCTAGAGGCAACTGTCACATCACATGAGATGCCAGCAGATAACACCTATGAAGGGAATGCATGGATCGGTCTGGCTCATACAGACCACATTGATTATGGGTCCATGTGGATCACAAATCCATAGCTTTAGACAGGAACATGCTTTAATCGACCCGACTGTGACTGTTCAGAGAGCAGAGCAGCTAAGAAGAAGTGACTGCTGTTAGTGGAGGGAGAGATTGAAATCACGGGGGAACAGACTCACTCTGGCCAAGAGAATGAAAAGACCACACACGTGTGCTGTATATACACACATTAAGTGTCCTCTCTTTGTTTAAACTGGCAAAGCAGCCAGCTTAAATACATATGACTTCACTTAAGAACATACTGTATATTTCATAACACAAAAAACCAACACTGGACTTTTTTCAGTGCGGAAATGTTTAATGGGAAAAGGAAATGTTCTTTTTATCACGAACATTAAATCCCTTTGTTTGTCAGTCAAAGTATAAAATCTACGGCTTCCCCTTGAAAGTCAAAGATTCTAATCAAAAGTTGGAGACCCCTCAGTCTATTCTTTTGAGCCAAGCATAGTTTTTCATAGTTTTTGCTACTTCATGAGGACATTTCTGTCCCCAGACGTCCACTGCAGGGTGAGCGCTATTCACTTTCACGCTGCTCTCTTAGGTAAAATCATTCCACTACGTCAAGTCATCCTTTCCGCTTGGTGAAGATGTCTGCGTCTGGACCCAGGGTCAGTCTGAGAGAGACGGAGGAAGCTGCCCAGTCAGGCTCTGAGATAACTTTATTTTCTACCTTCTGCTAAGAGGTGGTGGATTTATAGCTCACAACTCCACACACTATAGTGTCTCGCTCGTTCTATAAAGCATTGCTTGATGTTGATTCAATGAATATTCATATTGAACTGCCTCATGTGATTTGACTGACACATTTTCCAGCCCTAAAAGAATCTCCGCGACTTTCTCTTTAAACATGTAAAGCTTGAAATATGGAGATGTTTCACCAGCAGTGGTTCGTTTTGCAATTTGCATCAACTAAAGTGCTTCAGAGGATCGTTACAGACACTTTGCAGAGCGATGGCAGGAAATGCAAATACTGCTGCTAAACTCCTTCTCCCCCGCAAGGCCCCCTGATGTAAGATATGGGATATAAGCTTTCTTGGCATCTCTTTGACAAATATGCAAAAGAATCAAAACAGGAAGATGGAGATGATAAAGAGCAACAGTTGTAGCTCTAAAATCATCAAGCTGTGTTAAGGCGAGGTAGTTCCAAGAGAAAATCCCTTTTAAAAACAGGATTTTAGAGCTGGTGATCATAAAGGGAGTGTTGGAGAGAGGGGGGGGGGGGATGCCTGTGACAAAGTCATCACTTCCTCAGGGTCAACTTCGACTTAATGAAGTTTGAGTCAAATAAATCCAAGCAATCACATTAAATGATTTAATTCAAGAGTTTTGCTGAGAATAATTTAAATGAGTAGCCAAAGACGTACGATAAAGCACGTGTCCAGGAAACAAAAGGGGTAAAGGCCCACATATGAGGAAACGAAACTGATGGAAATCGAAAAGTCAAATGAAGAGGTCGAGAAAGGGCAAGGAGAACGTGATAAGTCAAAGACTGGGCAGGGAGAGAGAGAAATGGAGGCAGACAGGCAGGAGGTGACAAGGAGACAGAGGAGGAAGGATGTCTCACCGCGGCAGGGAGCTGTACTGTCTCTGCGTCTGTTGGAAACCGTCTCTGTCCTCTTGCTGCTCTTTCTGAGTCTCCACTGTTGCAGAATGACGTCCGCTCTGTGTCTCTGTCCCATTGCTCACCTGCAACGTCACATCAAACAAGACAATGCACAAGTAAGAAACGGAGAGACATAAAGTCAAACATTTCATTCTGTGGACGCACTCATTATGCCCAAACCATAGCAGGCTTGTTTGCACACTCATACACACACAGTCTTAAATGGTGGAATACATGTCCCCTGGCACAGCAGGTGGTTTGACAGTGTGAGGCCTCCTGTTGTTTCTGGCTGCCCTCAGGGAACAGGTTGTTAGTGGCTGTGAATCCATGATGACAATGACACTGAGAAAAGCACCTGAGCTGGTCGAGGAAAACTGCTCGTAATCCTGTTAAAGGCCTAATATATAGAGAGTTATTATCATTCCATCAATTATAAATCCTCGGTTTATTAGAATGCCAGACAACACACTTTGGACTTAAATTCTTAATGGCGAAGTTGAATCTTTCAATACTGTCAAAGAGTCATAAATAACGAACATTTGAAAAATGGGAAAAAACCTTGAAAAAAGTGTGGTTGACTTTGAAAACTGCAGGACTTGGATTATCATGCCATGCTAATGCAAGTGTTCATATCACAAATCCTGTATTTGCAAGAAGGCTCCAGGTTAAAGTCCTGGTGAGGCCGGGGGTCTTTCTGTGGGGGGTTTGCATGTTCTCCCCATATTTGCCTGGGTTTTCTCCAGATACTCAAAAAACATGCAGACTGCAGTAAGACCCCCCCCCCTGATTAATCATTACTGTGCACCACAATCAAACTATGAGCTGTTCTGTTCTGTTGAAATGAAAAGAAGCAAGCAGCATTGTTGTTTCTCAGAAGGAAATGGGTGCGAAGAAAAGCAGCTGTCAAAGCAAAATTTAAATGAATGTAATCTATCTCTTACTCAACACATATGCACCAGTACGCACCACTGCAGTACTGACGACATAAACTAAAGATGAGTATAACCAGAATCTGAGTGGGATGTGACTCGACTACACATCACAGGCACTAGCATCTGTGTGTGTGTTTGTGCGTTTGTTATCTGATGGTCGGCTTGGTTGACATGGAGATATCATCTCCCTCAACGCAGTGAACTGCTAACGAGCTGCCTGATGAAAGAACATGACAAGCCAATTAAATGGAGGCGAGCTGAGGAGGTGTCGTGAGTGTGGCTTGACTAAGCGTCAGTTTTTAAGGCTCGAGCGGTAATGCGGTTGGCAGGTGGGGGGTGTGGATGGTTTCTCTGGTATAAATTTCTGCTTTTGTAAATATTATGTAATATTGTTTTACTATTTTACTGGTCAGCTGAGTTTTGACAACTTTTGAAAAGTGTTTTGAATCTTTGTACATTGTGAAAACTTTGTGTTACTATGTGTTTGTAGGGCAGAAGAAGGGTAATGGCGGATGTTAGAATGGATTGATGGGGTAGAGGTGTGGGCGTATGAAAAGGCTGTCAGCCAAAGTGTCTTTGGAAACATCTTGTGTTGTTGAAATGGCTGTTTTCCTCCTCTCACGGACAGCTGTAATAACAGTGCAATTACATTTCACTCAGCGTCAATAGCAAGTCCTTTCTCAAGCCCTCCAAGACTTAAAAACATAATAGTATTCCATGTGGGTGAAGTGAATTGGACTCATATGTTTCAGGTTTCTGCAGCAACAACACGTTTCCCCCCCAGTTCAGAGAGTGTGGCGCACGTAAAAATCTGATGAGGCGGAAGGCAATTGGAGAAATAGTTTTACAGCGGCCAAATGCGGAGGTGAGAAAATAAATTAGTCACGAACGGTAAAAGTTTTTTTTAAATGTGATCTGAAAACCAAGTGCTGAGGAGTCCAGGGGGGGAAGCGCTTGATGCTCCGGTGGAGGTGGGTGACACCATGCCAAAGAGAAATGCATGAGAAATATCCAGGAGAGAAAATCAGTCAGTGTAATGGTATTATCCAGGGAAGCAGAATCCGATTATTCCATGTTAGGCCTGGAATACAAGGCCACATAAAACATGACATTTGGTGAAATCAAATCAAAGTGACGTCCGTGTTCGTTTTTATCCAATAACGTGAAAAATGATGTCTATACAGCACGCTTTTATCCCCCCCCCTTGTTTCCTTGCTGGTGTCACCGGCGACGCAGGAAGAGAAAGAAAAAAAAAGTCTCCACCTGTTAAAACATGGGAGCATTCACAGACGGTGAGCCAGGAGGGGACATAATTATGAAAATTATTTGCAGCTATCAAAAATCCAGGACCGGGAAAGCAGCTGGGGAGGCTGAGCTTAGAAAAGTTCAAAACATAAGCGGCCAAGGTGAGAAATGTCTTCGCTCTGACCTTTTAGATATCAAACCAGGTTGCTGTGATGGGTCAGCACTGGTTTTACCGCCCTCATGATGCTGTTTGTAGGCCACCACAGAGGAACAGTTTTTTTTTTTTTAAATAGAGCAGCCGTGCTTTTTACAAACAGACATATGGAAGACATTTATGTTGCTAATGGGCAGAGAGAAGAAAGTGAGAGAATGTTAGTGAAAACACCACGTCCTGACTAAGGCCCAGCTGGATAATGATTCTCTCTTAAAATCTTTGTTTCGGCCCAATTCTGCCAATTTATTATGAGCAAGCCCCGTCCATTTGTGGTTGCGAGGGTGTGTAGCTCTGGGCAGAGAATCCATCTGAGAGCAGGCAGTGTGGTCTGCCGTTCCCTGGTCTCCGGCCCAGGAAAGTGAGCTGAATTGGTTGTTGGACTGGCTATCTCCACATCACTGAGGGACTCACACAACACAGCACGGCACAACAAAATGTTGTGGTCTCATTTTTTGCAGGGGAGATATCTGTGTGGATGAATGTGTGAGGTAAAAATGCTTCTCCCTCTGTTATCTCTCTTATCTGTTAACACAGTTTTGTATCGCTTATAAATCGGTTAAAACTGCTGGATGTGCTTTGCTGGATGTGCTTTGCTGGATGTGTTTGCATGTGTACATATATGAGGTGTGTTTTTCTCTGTGATTTGGCAGCAGGGCTGAACAGTGCAACATATTTTCGAAATATTTTTTCACAACTCACTGTAACATATGAGGTGTTAAAAATGTTTTGGCAAGACCAGCTCATGGCAGGAGCAGTCATGAGATCAGTGCACCACCACACCTGCTACTTGCACAACACTGACCAGCACTTATCTTTAATTTACTCCTGCAGCCTTCACAGATAGTAAACTAGAGGAAGCCTGACAGAAGTTTGACTGAAATCACGAAAATGAACGAAAGTAGCAGAATAATACAATTGTGCAAAATGAGTTTTTTTGATTGAGATGGTTAAAAAAGGACAATGACACCGTGTATTAGTCTGAGATGCACATCTGATCCAGTGATATGAAAAATAACCCCCCCCCAGAGAACACTGCTGGTTTTTACACATCATGGTCCAGACAATTATTTTTACTGTATCTTCAAAAAATGTGTCCCTGTTTCAGTCTTGTAAGTACATTCCAGACAAATTAAAGCTAGGGTTGGTACTCATTGAAAAACTAGCAAGAGCAAGCAACAGTTACAGCAACATGTACAGCCCACCCCTCTCATTAGCACTCTTATCAAACTACGCCCACCAGAACATGTGAAAGCACAGTTTGTGACTCATTCACTGACTCTGGCTATCGTCTCTGCTTCAGCTGTGTATGTCTTTTTGGCTTGTGATGACTCAGGTCATGTGTGGTCAGAACATAAGCAGGGTGTGGCGGACCAATGGTTGGACCAAAAGTGTTTCAACAACTCATCAACCTTACGTTTATTTTAAAACATCTTTAAATTAAAGTGCTTTGTGCTAAATCTCTCGAGCTCTGTGCCGCTCTTGAAAAGCTGTCCACTTGTGATCGGATCAACTGAGACAGATGTTGATACCAGGTCTGATCAGGGCCCTGTTCAGACCTGGTGGGGCCTAGTGACAGATCTCAAATGCTTCAGTGTGTCTTGGTGAGTTCGCACCTGTACTATAACAGTTCACATGTTATTAGATCAGTGAGGATGGATTGATACAGCTCTAACAGCAGCTAGTGTCTCACAAGACCTTACATGTATTATATTACTGCTCGCAGCCAGGAGCTCACACTAATTCAAACCTTTGGCCCCTTTGGGAAGTCAAGTGACTGCGGCTAAAAGTGGCTTATTCTCCACATGATCACATAGGCAAGATTACACAAGCACAACAAAGCAACCACCAACATAAAAGCACCACATTCAGAGTGACCGGGGATTGTGCAAACATAATAAATGCTTGTAGACACACGTATCCTGGTAGCAGGAGATAGAGCGATAATAAATTCAAAGGAATTCAAATAAATAAGGGCTTTACGAGCTGCTGTTGGTGTGTTTGATCCAAGGTACCAGCATGGCACTCCCACTCGTCTGTGTGGTCATGCTCGCCCGGTCCTCCAACCCAACAGCACAAATTGATTTTATTGCCTCAGTCAGAGAGTGAGAGAGAAAAAGCCAACTCTTTGGAAAAATACATCGCGTTTTATGATGAACATCTGGAAATCCCCGCTCACAGAGCAGCAGTTAGGGAGGGAGAGAAAACATGCCAGCTCTAATTGTGTACTTGGGGGCGACATGATAGACAGGGCTTCCTGTGTCCCACTCATTATTCCATTAAGGAGGAGCCCGGGCTCGAAAGCTGACCCCAGCATTGTCATTACAGGCGTTCACAGCGAACATACCTGAGCTCAGTCTCCAACACCCCAGAGACAAGCCATTGAAATATCCAGATTTTTTGGTTTAACCAAGTGAAACATTTTTAAAGGGGAATCTGAAGATGGTGACCATTAAAGTGAATCAAAATATCACTTTTTTGATTAAAAAGTTACTTCTTCAGAACCCGGAAACAATTATTTAACCACCAGTCCATTAAGTAGCTGTTTTGCAGCTCTCCAGCTTTATGAGCTCTGCCAAGGAGGTTATGTTTTCACCTGCTACAGTTTCAATGTTGACGCCACAATATCAACTGATCATCACATAATGATCAATACTTTTCTTCAATGATTCAAATCTTTCTTCAGGGCAGCGCACATTCATCACTCCTGCTCGCTCTCTTCCTCTCTAGCTGACACTCGGACACACACCAACACACACAAAAACAATGTTATCTGACATATGTGTAAACTCAGGTAAAAACAACAGAATTTGTAAATTTTGGCTCAATTTGGCCCGATTTGGTTAGCACAGTGCGCAGCAGAGGAGCAGTAAATTACTGACAGACCCAGTAAAAATATAACTGTTTTACAGTCCAAACATGTATGGAAAGACCCCAAATGATCACTGTAAGTGGACTTAGTGGAGCTGTGCATGGCTCCCTGGGTATCTGCCCCGGAGTTGGTGGTGCTGTGGCCGGGCTGTGCCCCTTCTTCCTTGGGCTGCGGAGCTGTCCGTGGTCCCTGTGTCCGTAGCCAGGTGGAATTTTGAAAAATAAAACGTGTTGTTGGAATGGAAATAATGCATTTCATTTTTTTCAGTGTCTACTGAAGACTACTCACTGTATGGGGTCTTACGGGGTCTATATTAGCAGCGAACCCAAAGCAGAAAGACTTTAACCCAATATGAATGCATTCGTTTATTAATTGCAAGTCATATCGTTATCGCAATATTCAACGTTATTGCATGTGTTTGTTTTGGAGAGAAAAACACTGAACAAATAATAAAACATTAATGTCTTAAAATGCTTCCGACTGCTGCTTTGTTGGCTTGTACTTTATTTTTGTGGGGAGGCCACACCAAGGTCACCTTCAGTGCAGGGACGACTTGTGCAAAAGTGCAGATCTACAAATATTGATGTGGAAGACATTTAACTTCTGTCAGGAGCATCTCGCCCTAAACACTTTTTATTGAATTTACCAAAACTGGAGGTCACATGTATATTATCACATATATATATATATTTTTGTCATAAAGGACAACCATTTGCAATAAGAAAGACTGACATCATATTCTGCACAAAACATATCTGCAATAGGTAAGAAGACAAAACAGCTCCAAGGTTTTAAGAGTTGCTCAAAACTCTTTCTAAAAATGCTAGTGTCATAAATGCCTCCACCTACGCTTATGAAAACAACATTTGAAAAGTTTTCCCTCTCATAATGACTCTAAAAATATACAGTTAAGAAAGAGATCATAGGTGAAGAATAGTCTCTGATGTATTCTTATCTCTTCTTCCTGCTTTTACACGTACTGCATCTGTATCATCCTTTTATTCCTTCTTCTTTATAATCCAACATAAATGTGTCACCTCCTTCTTTTATTTCCGTACTTTACCTTTGGTACCATATTTAAATTATAGCTCCGTCTGTCTAAAATAGATTCATATCCGTTTTGGTTTTGGATGACACTAAGACAGGATTTCCCTTGAATTCATCTAATCAGTGTCAACACATAACATGGGTTCGGTTGTATCTATCCTAACAAGCTCTGCCATTGTGAATCCTTGTTCAGGACTAAAATAACATGAAAGAAGGCTAATAAAACAGACTTCAATACTCCAGGGCTGGCCCTATATCTTCTTACCCGTGGAATAGCAGGGGTACGCTCAACAATGTCAACAATCACAAGCAATTAGGAGCTCAGTGGCTCAGAGAGACTGCGGAGTACTGAACAAACAGTTAACATCTCAGTCTGACAGCAAGAGAGAGAGAGATTAAGAAAACAGTGCAGTAAGATATTTGTCTTTCAGTGGTTTTCAACCATGGGGAGGACCAATACTGAAGCTAATCCAGAGCAAATAAGGTATTTCTCTGTGTGAGAATTTGGCAGGAGGGAGCGTGGTTGGGAAATATGCTGTTATGTCTGAAACAAACTCATTTAGACAAGAGGAAAAACAGCAGAAAACGCTTGCCACTCCAGAAACCTGTTCAATTGGCCATCTGACACTGATAATTCTCCAGGAAATTTGATGCCAAATATTTTTTGCTTTCGAGGCCTGACATTTTGACCCATAATTTAGAGAACAGCTGTATTTTTAACCATTTTTCTTCTATAACCAGCTCTGAACTGTCAAAACACAAAAAAGCAATCCCTTTCTCAAGCCATTAAACTAAAACGTATAGAATTGCCATGCCTTTAATTTGTTCCTGCTTGATTATATGAGTATAAATAAAAAATAAAGTGGAAATTAAGTTTCAACTGATAAGTTGTATGACGTCAAACAAACCCATGTTACCTAAACAGTAGGATCTGACAATGATCTGGGAAATCACATGGTATGTTTCTTTACTTAAACTCAAGGCACAGTTAAAGTTTTCATGCTCAGCAGGGAAGGATACCAGATCAACTCTGAACTAATTAACAAAGGAATTAACTTGATTACATTTTTCCAATTATGAGGAGTAAATCCCATTCTTCCTACAGATCAATCATGGGAGAGGAGAATGGCTTAAAAAAACTCCTCAAATTTTAATTCCAATTTTTTTAATTTAAAAATCCCTTTAATCAAGTCTGATGAAAATGAAAATGAGAGAGTTCCTGACTGTCATCAAATTCTCTCGCCTTACTTTGCCACAGAGTCACAAATAGTCAGTCACTTGTTTTAGTGATATGAGCCAGATACAGTCAAACGATTGAGGCACTTTCCACACCAATGAATCCTGTACATATAAATTCTTAAATGTCATATGTAACATTGTTATCATTGTTTGTCCCTTGATGCTAGAATATAACTGTAGTCTGTACAGATGTATAACTAAACACTGTATCTTTTCTTAAGAATGCGAGAAACTAATTTTCCTCACTTTTTATTATTAACATCGCTCAGAAAGTACAAATTTACTGGAACGTTTTCTACTGCTGTGTATTTGATGAAATGAACTGGGTAACAGTGATAATCATCAAGAACCAAGCAAATACCAATGAAAGATTCCTCGCACTTAAATCTTTGTAAGTACTTGTTGCCAAGTTCTGGAGTGTAAGACAAACTCTGAATGAAGTGAGGTCAGGTCACATGTAGATCACACGAAAGAAAGAAAGAAGATTCTACTTCATGGATTCTGAAGTTCTTCAAGCAGTTTACTGGTTCTAGAGATAAAATGGATGACCAGTGGTGCATTGAGGGACATTACTATCTCATGGGATTGTACAGCAGATGTGTTTGTGGGTCTGCGTAGCTCAATGCTTCTCTGATGGAGCACGTTCCTATTGGACACTCACCCAAGATTGGTCAGAACTATAGATGTGCTGATGGTCCTCGAGGTCCTCTTGTATGGCCTGCTGGAACTCATGCCTCAGCCTTTGTATCCGGTCATGGTTACTTGGAGCCATCTGACTGCTGGGGAAGAGAGAAACAGGAAGTAAGAAAGTGGAACTAGTCTTTTTGAATCCAGAAGAAACTCTGAGCGGTTATTTAGAGGGTAATTTTTCAGCAAACTTCCGCTCAGAAATAACACCTGGCACATCACTCTTGCCAGCATGTTGCTACAGATGCTTGCTCATTTTCTGAATAATTCACTTGACCACCCGGACACCCCTCTAAATTGTGTAGAGGATCCCCTTGATCTGACAGTCATTATTCCCTTTTGCATACCCGGCTGACATCGCTTCGTGCTTTTCTTCTTACACTCCCTCTCACCATCTATTGCTCCTTAACATCCCTATAACTGAAACTGTCCCTCGTGCACCATTGTGCATGATGCATATCCCTTTTAGACTGCAGGAGAATATTGGCCTTTTATGGTACACAGTCATTAAATACTGTGGAAAACCCTCATTTACATCCCCTTCATTAAAGGGCTTTGAGGGGCCTGTCAATAGGAATCAATAGTCTTCTTTCAGCTTAATCAGGCTCTCCTTTTATCAGCAGCTACAGAGGCAGCACATGACAAAATGCATAATTATGATCAGACAACTGGCTTGATAATAGGCCTGCATTTATGCATACCACAGGGATGAAAGTGAGCAAAGGTTAGGAATTTGTGCTGGGTGGGGATGGGAGCGTGGGGATGTAGGGAGTGGGATGGAAGGAAATGTAGATAAAGGAGGGGTGTTTGGTGCTGAGTGAAAGAAGGGAAAGGTTAATCAAGAGCATGTGAGACAAGGGGAAGAAAGAAACTCAGCTGGGGTGAAGTAACTGAAATGGCCATCAGGAGAAGAGAATCACAGGTGGGTAGAAGAAGGGGATAGGGAGAGAACTAAAGCTAAAAACAATGTCAAAATGGAGCCTTGACTCGAGGACCTGTCATCCTGTCATTGTGCATGTCCTCGGGAGTCGCACTTACAGGTGGCATGCCAGCAGTGGAAGTGATTGCTTGTTTGGGCCCAGTGGATTCTGGGCACAATTACGGTGATAATTGCAGATTAGAATGAGCACATCCTTCTGATGATAATGGGCACGAGGACATGCTGCCAATCAAGCTTCATTAAAAGCACAATAAATGGCAGCTCATAAATGATGCTAGGATCTCAGTGCATCCCCCCGAGTAGCACTTGGTGAAGTGTAGGTATCTTGTTATTCGTATTGCCTGACCAAAATCAATTGTATTAGTTATACTTCATTTGAATTCTATAGCTTTATGTGCGTGGGAGTGCATTAGGCCTTTTATGTGGATGTGGGCAATTAAGTGGCTCACTGGGGTGTGAGGTGCCTTCTGCTTTTAGGCTGTGGGGTGATGGTGGAGTGCTTCTATTACTGTTCGTAATGCTGGTAAAAGTAGAGCTTCTGTGCATAGACTATATGTACAAATCTATGACAGCACTTGTTGGCTAATAAAAGACGATATGTCCCTTAAAGGTCCAGTGTGTAAGATTTAGGTGAAAAGGAAATATTGGCAGAAATTTTATGTAGAATAATCCTCATGATGTTTTCACTAGTTCATTTCATCTAAATTGTATGAATTGTAGTTTTCTTTACACCAGGAAAGGCTCTTAAATTCAAATACTTTATATTTACATCGAGGCCGCCCTGTTTTTTATAGTAGCCCAGACTGAAGAAAACTAAACACCTTTTGAGTTTTTATGACAACTGAAGGCTACCACAGGTTCTTTTTCATGTTTGGAAGGGGAGACTGAGGTGAGGGGTGTTCAGCTGCAACATCCAATTTCAACACTCAATATCACTACATTCTGCACGCTGTACCTTTAAATTGTTGTAACTAATTCATAAACTAAGAAATAGCAGTTTCAGAAAGAGCTCTTTATATACTTAGTTTCATCTGTTTATTGTTATAACACAATGTTTGTCTTAGCTAAACTTTGCACACAGCAATTCCATTGAGAAGGAGAAATGAAAACATTCTGAAATGATTCTGTTTATGTTTTCTATTGCAAATGGATATTCTGAAATACAGGTCATATACCATCATCCCTGCTAGCTGAGAGAGAGGTACAGTGGAAAAAGACCAAATATAGAACTGGGAAGCCCAATACATGTAATTAGCCTAATCCCTGAGGCTGGTCAAAGCGAAAGTGAGGCTGACTCCGAACAAACAACCTCGTAAATTTTTCCCTTTGACCCTCCAGGGACGGTCATTGCTAACATCAGCATCTCAAACACTCACGACCGGGCTAGAGGAATCAGGGGGTGCAGTGAGAGCCAGCTGGGGATCCAGACAAAGAGCTGCGACCCAGGCTATAAACAAGACTACGTTAGTCCATATGCACTCACAACACAACGACCTATTGCCCTTCTCTCACCCACTAAAGCATCAAGAACGAGGAATGACCTCCATCGCTCCAGTATGGATAAAGTGGTGTGGTGTGGACTGCAAGAAGATCAGCTGAGACAAGATCTCCAGAAAATTAAAGAAATAGCAGCACAGCACTTCATATTATTTTCCCAAGAGCTACAAATGGAAATTGCATCAAATATGGGTTGGGAGTGGGGGTGGGATTTAACTTGGGGTGAATTTGTCATGGCAGTTCAAAGGAGGCCTGTGCAATATCTAGATTATCTGTAGGGGTTTCTCCTCTATGTCCCCCATCCACCGTGGGGGGAGCAAGTTGATGGGATTCTCGGAAAGCACTCCATGTAATTATCCAGTGTAAATATATTCATACGGAAAGAAAAAGGAGTTGAAGATAAGAAGAGACGAAGGGCAAGAATCAACCACAAAGTGGCATCAGAAGCTGCGCTATCACAGCAATAGTCGACAGAAGGCCTGTCTTCATTCATAAAGAAGATGGATTCAGCTGCCGTCCCTGAGAGCTCCTCAGAGCTGGGATACCTCAATGCATAATTAGTCAGCATGATCGTTGCTGATGCATCAGGTGTCACTGCTTTCCAATTCCCCCCTGAATACATCAGTGTCTGTAATGGGCCTGAAGAACATGAAGTGTGAGAAAAGATCGGGGGGAAAACTGGTAGCAGTTTATGTTTGAAGATCACCTCAGCAGTTAAGATGGATGTGACAGCGATGCCAGCAATCTAAGGCTATGAAGGAATATGAACGAGCACTGCTCATCACTTTGCTATAAACCATGTCATGTTGATGCTTGAGGGAAAATGTCTGCATCATGATCGTATGAGCTTACAGGGCTTAATCCCACTGCACTTTTTTTTTCTAATGCAAGTCCTCTTTTTAAAATACAATTCAATGGAAAGAAGGACACTGCCTGTAAAGTAATTAAAAAAACATGGGGGAGATAAAGTATCCATATGCCGCAGAATTTTCACAGCCAGCATCTTCATTCGGGCCTGTATAATGAGGTCTGCTCAAAATTCATTTGTGTGTTTGCAGACTGAAATGTCAGCACATGGCCTCTCAGGGTGGCAATGCTGCTCCCATATGCATGCAAACATACCCACGCAACGCAGGCTGCAACTCACAGACGTAGACACACACTCACTATCTCACTTTCCCCGTCTTCTCACTTTACAGACACTCATATTCAGTAAAGTCACACTGCTGCTGTATTTACAGATTGGGTGAAAGCTTATTCCGAGGGCTTACCGGGTGAGGTGAACCTGTGAATTCACAGGCATGCAGAGTCATGTCAAACAACAAGGATACAGGCCTGTTTGAACAACAACAGACTCTCCACTGATCTCCTCCTCCCCCCGCTGCTGCTCCAGCTCATCCTTGTCTTATTTAGAAAGGATTAAAAAGTAGCTGAAGTTGGGAAATACCATATAATACAAGAAAAATAAGCCCCGAGCTTCCTGGACTTGTTATGAATGTAGCTTTGTGACAGAATCAAGCGTTAAGGTTTTATTCGGAACGCCTTGCAGTATCACAGCAACACCTTTATTCTGGCATTTATTTAGTAAAAGGCTATGACAGGTCAGTGGTATGAATGTGTCTATATACGGACATATGTGTGACCTCCATCCCACCTGTGTTTTCAAACCTGACCTGTTGACAGAGGTCATGAGCCCTCTGAGGCAGCGGTTGGGGGTATGTGGATGCCTGTCTGTGTAATAGTCATCCCTTGATCCGGGAGGATTTGGCAGATGTCTCACACACCACAAGGCTTAGGCCAAGGATGCATACTATGCCACAGTCCCCCTGTTCGCTTCTGTTGGTGGATCAAAGCCGCAGAAAGTCTCGGCATGTCTTATAAACACTGCCACTGGCCAATAAAGGAGTAATCCAATCACTGAGAGTGCAACATGGGTCATGTGAGCATACCTAAGGCCAGGGGCCAATCCCAGCCAATCAGAATGGGAATAACAGAATGTTATAATCCCGGAGATAATATTTCATGATATGAAGTTTGACATGAGTTGTCACAGACTTGTTCATTTCCAACTAAAGTAGAAAAGGCTGAACTGTTAGGGCTCCGGTCTGACTTTAAAATCAGGCAGTCTGTTATTTCTTATCTGATCACTCTTGATTGAAATTCTATCAGATTGTCTGGTTTCTTGCTCTGGCCCCAGTATCTCAATGCAGCAGATGAGGGGGCAGGCTTCTTAAGTTTGGGCCCTTTGGCAATCTCACATCAAGTCAAAGGCTTAGCTCATCTTTATTCCATCGCCCTGTGGACTTTCATTTATTTCAAAGACACAGAGATGAGGCATTTTTTTGGGGAGATGGACAGCCTTTGGGACCTACTGCGATGATTGAATAAGATTAGATATGCATTACCGCAGGTCATTTTTGAGCGGGAAAGGGACAAAGATAAATCATTTTTTTAGATCCTTCAGAGGACATCGGCATACATCGGCCAGTCTGCTGTGATTTCTGTTGCAATCAAATGAAAACAGTTAAAACATATATTTCCCTCCACTTTCTGCTCTCGATATCCCAGTTTTATAAAAATATCCCAGTTTTTTCATGCCTCATCTCTCTCCTTCATTTTTTCCCTTTTTGTTCCCATGTGTTTTATCTCTGAATG